TATATATATATATATATATATATATGGATATCAATCCTAAATCCAAGGGTTGATTTTCCAAGATATTGGAGTATAATGCTTTTGAATTAGGACTTAATAGATCTTAACTCATATATATATATATATATATATATATGGATATCAATCCTAAATCCAAGGGTTGATTTTCCAAGATATTGGAGTATAATGCTTTTGAATTAGGACTTCATGGATATACACTATTTTTTCTATCTATCTATATATATAAGGACACACAACTCTTACACATATACCATTAATCTCTCTAGTTTGAATGGCTGAGATTTGTTATGATTTTTAAGATGAAAAACACAATTATCTTTAAAAAATAAGATAAAAAGAAAATAAATCTCAATCATTCATAGTGGAGCGATGAATGGTATAGATTTTGTATAAGTGATATATGTAAGATCTGTCTGTAAGGGTCATGTAGGCTCAAGTCCCGTCTTAGCATTATGCTATCTCAAAGGACCTTTTTTCCCCTTTTGTAAAATGCCATGGTTTGAACCCCTTTTAATTTCTGCCTTGTTATTCAACCCTTTTCTCCCCTTCTCTGTTACCAAGGTATGAAAACTAGATTCTCTTTCTTCTTAAGCCCATTATGTATCCTCCCACTAGCTCTACACAAGGGGGTGTGTCGGGAAAGTCCCACAATGATTAAGTTTGAGATAATATGTAGGCTTATAAACAAAGTGGGCCTCTGCACCTATTTCCAATTAGTTATAGGTTGGATGCCTCAAATGCTCTAAAAGCTCTAGTCTTTCCTTTTTTCCCTTCCAAAGTAGGAAAGTTGGCATAATTAGAGGCAGAAAATGGACTTGTCCTAATGAAGTATAGTCTATGATGCAAATTACTTTAAATTTTAAAATGATAAATGTGTTACAGAGAAAAAATAAATTTAAAATGAATATTTCCATTGAGAAATGTTGAAAAGTTTGCTCCATTCCAGTTGCCTAATGTTTTTGATTGAACAAGCACTAGGTTAATAAATTGAAAGTCATAGTGAGACTCAAAGTTGAGATCTCCAAGTTGGAATCTCAAGATCTTAAACAGTTGAGTGACGCCCCTACAAGCTCCTTGTGTCTGTAGTTTGCTTCATGTTTGTACTCCACTTAGGGAAGTAGAACTGTCATTTTTGGACAGTATAACCATAATAGATTGCTCTACTTGCATAAAATTTGTATATGGAATATATTAGTTTGATTTAATTTAAACTTATCAATTCATTAGGAAAATAGGAAACTAAGGGGGGATTGACTCTGAATGGGCCTTCTCTACACCTTTTGCCTTGGTGAAAGAGTGCCTAGTGCACAGGTGCCTGCCTTAGTAAAAATGCCTTGTCCAAAGGTCATAATCATGTACTTACATGCATATATTTCATAGGAAAACTAAATAAATGAAAGTTTTGGTTAATGTTAAGAATGTCTTGATTTAATAGTGGTTGTGATTTAAATCATACATAAGCTCAGTACTGTCAATTGTGGCCAAGAAAACTTAGTGCTGTTTAGGGTGTTGTTCATGATTTTGCTGGATTATGCACTGAGCATTCTCATGTCTTTGTACTTGTAGTGATGTATCATACAATAATTTAGCTGGGAGCTTTCCTTCTTGGGTTAACGAACAGAACTTACAACTGTAAGTCCTCTCCAGGTTTATATTTTTATGCATAATATACATAAAAAATCAATTTGCACAACTATGGTTTCTTTCATACTCTTCCCATCAACTTACCGCCTTTACATTTTGAGGTGTCCCAAAATTTTGTCCATTTGATAAAGTGAAGCTCTAATTCATTTAATTTTAAAAATTAGCCTTTTCGTTTTAAATCTCTTTTACTAGAATGGTTTTAAAAATATCCCTTTTAGCTGGAATTAGTTTTTGAAAACAATAATTCCACCACCCATGTGATTACAATAAATGATGTTTCTCTAATAGGGTTTCAACTACAAAGTTTGAAATGCTAATATAATATGTTGGATCAAGGAAGTGTTTATATTTTGTAATTTGTTGTTTCATATCATATGCATTTTTCTAAGAAAACATTATTTACTAGCTCTTTGAGTATTATAAATGCCCAATAATCATAGAGAAATTCCAGTTTGCGAAATGGATTTGCATCCAACCTATAGTTACATGGTGAAACTAAATAATTGTCTTTATGCTATGTAATATGCAGAAATTTAGTTGCCAACAACTTCACCATAGAATCTTCAAACAACAGGTAATTCTTTGTGTTGTATTTACTTTTAAATGCTTTTGAAGCCAATCCCTTAACTTAGCTATTTTCTCTCTAATCCAATGTACTTTCTAGTTGTGTTGTTGTCACCTAGTTTACTTGATCATGGGCCACAGGCTGCTAAAAGTGATGTTACTGCTTTTCATAATAGGCTATAATCAATATTTACAAAGCTTTCACCATGCTAGTATGCTGTGTTGTAATATTTGTTTTTTTGAATGCAACTTTTGTCAAATTATTTTTCTTAAGAGGAAGAGAGAAGAGTCAAGTGAATTCATAGTAATATACATCCTTTCCCTTTGAGCCCGCTCCCCTCTTTTAGTCCACACACGCAACAAAAATAAATAAATAAATATTGAAAAGAGAATGGAAAATCAGTATTCATTTCATGAATCTGGAAGATGTTCGCTATGTGGGTTTTTAAATCGTTAAATTGTAAATGTTACTGAACTTGTAATTATGACACTTGTCCTACTGCATTCTTCTTCTACTTTTAGTGGTTTGCCATCAGGACTCAATTGTCTTCAACGGAATTTTCCTTGCAATCGTGGTTCTGGAAGATGTAAGTATAGTTAAAACTTTTACCTTTGTTTAAGAGAATGGAATTGAAGCTAGAATATGAAGGATCTTTCTTAGTTGATTTATTGACAGAAAATTGAATTCTAAATAATTGTTAGTTGGGGTGGATTAAGAACTGCAAGAATCTCTCATTGTTATTTTGCAGTTAAAAGCCATTAAAGGTAACATAAAACAAGTATTAGATCAGTGCATTTAATTGTCAAGATTGTGGAATTGAGTGGTAGGTGCTCGGAAAAATGTGGAGAGGCACATCTTATCTGTAAATCCAAAGGTGTATTACCAAATAAGCCATCACATAAGCATGGTAGAACAAGACAAGACATGGGCTTAATTTTCAATTGCAAAATGAAGGGAACCAAATGAGAAATGGGGCTTAGCCTCACATATTCAATGTAAAACCAATTGACAATACATGGAGTCATAGAGAGGCTGTCTTATTTATTGTCCAAAGGTTTTCAAATTTAATTGCCAATGACCAAAAGCAAATTGGATATAAGGGAGATATAACTGGAGGAAACAAAGTGGCTTTTTCCTTCTTTTTTTTTTACAGAAAAATTTTCACAGATTTAACCTATTTTACCTTTTGGTATAACATCAGTTAGGTCATAGGCTGGCCTTCTGTGCTAGGATAGAAATAAACTAGCTTTACAAGAAATGGATCCAGCCCCAAAAATAGTAGATTTTTTTGGTTGTAAAATCCAAAATATTAGATAAGCACTTTAGGAATATGATATAGAACCCTAAAAAATTTAGAATTTGATGAGCATTGTAAAGTCAAGCATGTAAATGGATCAATGCACCGGAGTTAGGAAAACTTTCTTCTGAGTTAAATTATTGAATCCCTCTTTCGTTTTGTTCTACAGATTATAACTTTGGAATTAAGTGTGGTGGTCCAAGGATTACATCCTCTGATGGAGTTGTGTTTGAGAGGGATGATGAGATTCTTGGCCCGGCCTCATATTTTGTGACTGATACAAACAGGTGGGCGGTCAGTAATGTTGGATATTTTGCTAGGAACAATAATCCTCAATATACCAAGAATTCATCATCTCAATTTACAAACACTCTAGACTCAGAGTTGTTTCAGACAGCACGAATTTCTGCTTCCTCACTAAGGTACTATGGATTGGGGCTTGAGAATGGCAATTATACTGTGAGCCTCCAATTTGCAGAAATTCAGATTGACGATTCTATCCCATGGCAAAGTCTTGGGAGACGGATTTTTGATATATATGTCCAGGTGTGTATATTTCTGAATTGTTCTATCAGACTGCTCTTCAACCTTTACCACACAAACTATAATACCATCCTTATTGCCAATGGGCCATGATCCATCCAAGTTTATGATGCCAGGAAGGGTTACTGTGACAAAGTTCACTGCATTTAATAGAATAGAATTCTTAACCTTTCTGGAATCTGGAACTGAGTATGATTTAACACATTTAATGAATTGCTTTTAGAAAACATTGGATAATGACTTTTGAATTCCTAAATTCCTAGATTCAATTATCCCTACCATTTTTAGAACTATCTTCCAAATAATTATTGCCACTGGCTCTTTCGAACCTTTTTGTTTTCTGGATCCTGAGCAATTTCCCAAATAATTGTTGAAATTACAAAATTTTCAAATCTCAGCTACAATCTGGTTTAAGAGAAGTGACTGAAATTTTGGTTAATTATATTTCATTCCTTTCTTATAAGAATGACATTTTCCTTATCTTCTTTTTTCTGCTTAAGTTTTGACTCAGATCATTGCAGGGGAATCGTGTTTTTAAGGATTTTAACATACTGAAGGAAGCAGGTGGATCCTCCAGACAAGCTGTTAAGAAAGAAATTACAGCCCAGGTGTCTGAAAACTACCTTGAAATTCATCTATTTTGGGCTGGAAAGGGGACTTGCTGTATACCAGATCATGGCACATATGGACCTTTGATTTCGGCAATCAGTGCTACTCCAAGTAGGATAATTTACAAATTTTCTTGGTTTTGTTCTTTATCCTTGCATATATGTGTAGTATGGTTGATGGTTGAGTCAAGAGTCTTTATACAGATTTCAAACCTACTGTTAGTAATAAGCCTCCGAGCAGCAGCAAGAACAGAACTGGTCTGATTGTAGGGGTTATTGTTGGTGTTGGAGTTGTCAGCTTTCTGTTTCTTGCAGCATTCTTCATTTTTGGGAGAAGGCCAAAAACCAATGAGGATGAAGGTGGGCATGAAAATCCTGTTTCATATACATAACACTGTTTTAACTACTTAATTTGTAGTGGTGCATAGAAAACTTCTTTTTGACATGCGTGGTTCTATTCTTGTCACAGTTTTGCAATTAGTGTTTGTTTGCAATATTTTATCTTAAGTGTTGTTATGAATTGCTTTCTTGTTCCACAGAAAATTTTCACTTTTTATTTTTTTAATTTCCAATGCATTCTCAAAATCCCAATGGAAAATTATTTTTAGATTTTTTTTTTTTTACTCTTTATGTTATTTTTCAAACACCAGTGTGCGGTGTTCCTTTGTTCCAGAGGAAGAACCCTTATATGCAGCAAGTGAGCAACATTCTTTATTTTCCATCACAAGACCCAAGTTGTTAAAACATTTAGTGAGGGCATGTATTCCAGCCCATGTCTTCTCATAGAAGTTCAATCATGTGTATGAACATCCTGCTTCCTACAGTAACCTTTGTTTCGTTGGACATGCAGAGCTCCAAGGAATAGATGTCAAACCATATACCTTCAGTTATGCTGAACTAAAATCTGCTACAGAGGAATTTAATCCGGCAAATAAGCTAGGAGAGGGAGGATTTGGACCGGTCTATAAGGTAAGTTGTTGTTCTGATTAATGACTGACAAGGGGATTAAATCATCAGGTATATTCAAAATATTTATCAGATAAGAAGAGCAGGGTTTCATTTCATACATTCATGGTGGCTGCCAACCTGTGATTAACAGATTGCAACTAATTTTTTTATAGAACATTTATTAAGAATGAGTTATACCCTTATCATTTGCATTTATTGGTTGGGGGCTGATGTTATTATCATAATTGAGCATACTTTACAGTACTATTTTCTATAACTAGTTCTCTAGTGCAAATAGATATAAATTTTGCTAAAGATAACTGAAAACTGATGGTTCTTGGTATTAGTTTTGATGCAGGGAAGGAAGTAGAAGAGATGAAGGGAGAGGAAGAGAGGGAAATAGGGAAGAGAACTTGAGGAAATATAAAGGAGAGGGAAAGTACTCAACTGAGTGAAATCATTAACATAACTTATGATAATCCATAATAGTACAATAGTAATAGTCTAAAAACCCTAATTGTTGTTTTATAAGGAATCTAAATAAAGAGATAACTAACTGTAAATGAAATTCTAATTGAGAAAAGGAAGCTGACAGCCAAAATGGTTGGGTATTGTAGCCCTGATGGGTCATAAGTTATGGAGAAGTGCTTGAGATAATCAGATTGATTAAACTTTCTATCCCTTAATTCAGGGATCCAATGAGTGAGATGGGACACAAGATGGGTTATTCCTCACTTTTTGTAGCCTGTAGGAATAAATAATGAGGCTGGAGCCTGGAAGTCGATTTAACTATGAAGCTAATGAATAAATCAGAAAAATATACAGAATCTTAATGTGCTGGGTTAGCAAATTCCGGGTTCACATCTTGGTCAATTTATTGATTAAACTGATTTTATATGCATTGGCTAAAATATGGAACTGAGTTTTTCATCTGGCCTAATGATAACATGAGTAGTTTTGTTTTATGGCACAGCATTGAGAATTTAATGGATGGAGAAAGCAAAATTGATAACTCTTTCAGATAGAAAGTTTTTTCCAGAGAAATAGTAGGGATTGGGAACATTGAAGACAAGAATTCTTTTTATTTGGATACATTGTATTCTATTATTAACTTGAATCTTTTGTTACCTAGGGAAAACTTAATGATGGTAGAATAATTGCAGTGAAGCAATTGTCTGTGGCATCACGCCAAGGCAAGAGCCAGTTTGTTACAGAAATAGCTACTATATCTGCTGTGCAGCATCGAAACCTTGTCAAACTACATGGTTGCTGCATTGAAGCAGATCAACGCTTGCTTGTTTATGAGTATCTTGAAAACAAGAGCCTAGATCAGGCACTATTTGGTATGAAAATATTTCAATGAAATGAAATGTTTTTGTTTCTAGTATGGAAATATAGCATAGAATTACTTATGGCTTTAATTGAGCAGGAAAAGGAAGCTTGAACCTCAACTGGCAAACACGTTATGATATATGCTTGGGAGTAGCTAGGGGTCTGGCTTATCTTCATGAAGAGTCAAGGCTTCGAATTGTACACAGAGACGTAAAGGCCAGTAATATCTTGCTGGATTCTGCTCTGATCCCCAAGATTTCTGATTTCGGTCTAGCGAAACTTTATGATGATACGAAGACCCACATAAGTACCCGTGTTGCTGGGACAATGTATAACTTTCAAGTTTGACATCATTAATTCTTCTCAACAAGTTCATTTTCTTTTTTTCTTCTTCTTCTTCATTTTTTTTAGGGCCATTAATTTTTATGTTGTTTTCTTCCTCTAATGTATGACTAATAGATTGTCTCTGTTGCTACTTATGTAGTGGGTATCTTGCACCAGAGTATGCAATGCGTGGACACCTTACTGAGAAGACTGACGTGTTTGCCTTTGGTGTTGTGGCTCTAGAAGTTGTTAGTGGGAGACCTAATTCTGACTCGAGCTTGGAGGGAGAGGAGATGTATCTTCTTGAATGGGTATGAAATATATCCTTCTTTTACCAATTTTCAATTTGATCCTTCTTTCTTTAGGCAAACTTTGATCTATTAAAATATTCAATTGCTACTGAAAGTGCCATTTTATAACTTAACTACACCCATACTTTCGAAAGTGCATTTATTTGTATTAATTTTCATGCCATGATGCTAGAAGAACACGAATGTATGCTTTCTAGTGAAAAGTATGGTTAAATATACAGTGCATAGTAATATTTAAATTCTGGAAACATTCTTTAACGGTTATTTTTCCCTTAGGCTTTCCCCCGTTTTCTATTTTACTTTTTGGCGGTTTTCTTTCTTTTATTCCATTTCCCTTGGGATTAATTTGGATAACTGTTTATCAAACTACTAAGAACATTCATCCAAATCCTATATAAGATCAGTTAGAATGTTAATGTATAGTCATTTGAATTTCAACCAACTTAAAATGCCAAGGAAGAAAAGCAACTTAAAATGTATTTTACGCCTTTATTCCTCTGCTTCTTGATTTTAGTTGTATGTCTACTTTCTATTTACAGTGCAACTTATCCATCCCTGTTCCACCATAATGTGTTATTTCCATTCTGGCTTTTAGGCTTGGCGCCTATATGAAAACAACCGTGAAGTTGAACTAGTTGACTCTAATATATTAGAATTTGACGAAGAAGAAGTGAAAAATGTCATAGGAGTAGCCCTTTTGTGCACTCAGACATATCCAATGCAAAGGCCATCAATGTCCCGTGTGGTGGCTATGCTTTCTGGAGATACTGAAGTGAGCAGAGTAACTTCAAAGCCTGGATACTTGACTGACTGGAGATTTGATGACATAACAAGCTTTATGAGTGATCAAGCTACAAGAGCAAACGATACCAGCCATTATACCACATCGACAAACACAAGCACGGTAGCTGATATAGAGAACCCTCCAGAAAAGGCTACTAAACCTATGCCTCATAATATTTTGGGATAGGACAGGTGATTTCATAATCTTATCCATTTCATCTATTCTTATTCTTGATTAGACATACTGTATATAACTGTAGGATTTGAGTGACAGCCATTTTCTGTACGAGTTTCCTGTTGTTTCTCAAATCAATTTTGAAGGTCTGTTTTAGTTTCTGCCAAACCATACAGATGGTGAATGTCAAGGCCATGTCTAAGGTGAAAAAAAAAATGAAAATCTTGAGAAACTAGTTGATACCGAACATCATTTTGGTGATTTGGTGCCGCTTGTTTTTGGTTATTGTAATAAATAATGTTAATTATTTTCGAAAGGGCCAAAGTTGCACATCTATGGTTTTTTTTTTTTTTTTGTGGCATCATATGATAAGTTATATAATAAAGATAGCCTTTCCTCCACCTTAAAATTTGAATTCAAAATCTCTTCTTAAGACACTCACTTGTTGTGGGCATTGCATACCTACGATTTGTAGACTCAGTTTTATTACATGAGTAAATATCTAGTAGTTGTTTGCTGAGATGAGTTGGTAGCTGAGTTGAATATCCTCTTTCTTTGCCAAACTTCTGAAGGCCATGCAGGAGAACCCGTAATCACTATATCCTCCACGCCTTGCAGTTAATCGTGGATCTAAGTGAAAAGAAAAAATAGAAAAATAAATAAAATTTTATAGAGCATAATTATCACTATATCACCCAAAAAAAGAATTCCATGATCACTGATATACTTACTGTCCCTGCATACAGTATTTCCCACTATACTTGCGTTGCTTCTGCCCCGTAGTTCAAAGAGACCCTATTCCTATACAATTTGCTGCTTATCCATGCTGCATATCCACTACTGGCAGCAATTTTTCCTGAGAACACATAACAAAGTCTATCAGCAAGGATTCTTAGTCTTAACTACTTTTTATGCCACTTGCATAAGTACAGTTATATTCTAAATAAATATTATAAAGTTCTAAAGAAATATGGGATTAGAAAATACACAATACACACCATCAAGGGTGATAGCATACTTAAGAATAAGAACAGAAAATGGAACCCGAGAGATAGCTATGTGAATTAAAGGCAGATTGACGAGAAGGCATGATTTCTGAGCTTCCTGTAACAGAATATGCCCTGTAAATTACAGGTAGTGTGGAAGACAACACTAATTTTGAAAAGCAACACGACTACATATTACAGAATCAAGTTATAAGACCTATAAACAAGCAAAAGTAAACTGAGAACACCATAAAGGCAGTCAAAAAATGATAAAGAGCATCTATCTATGACCCACATTCCACAGTTCCTGTTTCATCTAGCAGAGACTTGGTTTAGGTTGCCTTCTCCATTCATTTCACATTACGATCAAAATAATACAAGAACAGAGTTATTTATCAATAACTTCTCATAAACTTGTAAACTTCTGTGCTCCTCATAATCCACAACTACTTCTATGTGCGTATTCAAAATTTTAGGCTTCATATAATTTTTCTAGAAATTTCTATAGTTTTTAATGAAAAAAGATGAATTATTTTTAAGCCTGTTAGCAAGAAGTCATACTCCTGATAGGTAGACATTACTACCAGGTGATTTCAGCACCCATTCACTATAAAATACAAATTTAAATATTTATACCTAGTATAATACACAAGTTCTATGACATAATCATATCTATTCCCTAGAATAGCATTGCATAGGGAAGTGTATACAACAGAGAGAAAAGAAAGGAATTTTAAGAGTCTAGCTTATTATTTCACATGAAATATTATCATGTTTTATATTATCTACTAGGAAACCAATATTTGTGACCCAGATAAAATCAGTTTGTAAGAAGACGTTGCAGCACCATTCATCAGAGGAAGGAAGTAAAGGAGACAAATTTATATAAACAAAAGCCAAATTTTTCTTAACTAACCATACTCAAGGGTATCGAGTGGATCATGAACTAAACATAAACAAGGAAAAAACAAAAGAGGCTAACCCATGCGGCATGCCCGAAAAGCAGTTAGATTTATATCTCCACAATCTTACTTTATATATCCTCCCCCAGAACCTCAACATGCAAACCTGGACTCCTCAAGGCACGTATAGAATTGCCTTTAAGATGCTGCAAAGGATGCCTGATTCCAACAACAACTCTTTTGATGCCTGCCTAATTTACAAAAATGTCAGTTACCTTCCTGCTACATTTACAATAAATTAAACAAAACCAATTTTTATCCCAAAAAATAAAAAAATAAAAAAATAGAGGAACAGATAAGGCAATGAGTTCTATACCATTTCACTCCTTTCGAAAGACATTATTTTGAAATTACTAAAGATGCGAATTTAAGAAAGGAAATTGAAACCTGAACAAGAGCAGAGACGGCAGTGTGATCGCCATGGCAGTCACCGGGTTCCATATTGAGGTAGGTAGTGGCGCCTCTACAACGCTCGCCTCCGGGCTCCACCGCTTGGATCTCAGCTGGCTTCGTGCCCTGGGCGTACAGGTACCCCTCACCGGCGACATCTCGGCTTGGCGTGGCGATTACGCATCCGAAGTTCGGATGTGGAGACGTGAAGCCCGCAGATTTTTCGGCTATATCGACGGCGCGGCGGATGTAAGCGACGTCGTGGACGTGGCCGTGGGAAGCGGCGGTGGCTTTGCAGATAAGGGGAGGGGAGTAAGCTCCCAATGAGCGCCCCATTTTCTTTCCCTCCCATGTGGCGGGCTTGTTGGGTGATTTTAGCAGACGACCGTTGGGCTCTGATGGGCTGGTAAAGGGCGCATCAGATTAGCTTCGGATGGACTTTATGAGGCTTTTTCAATTAAGCTTCAAAACTATAATTTTTTGAATAAAGACCCTTAACCATTCCCTCAAACACCAAACAAAAAAAGATCTAGTTATAATGTCATATGGTATTTTAAATGGAGAAATGATTTTGGGACAACCTTTTCATCTCACCTTTTCATCTCACCTTTTGGTACAACTTGATGTGTCATTAAAATAATTGATTCTTTTAATTCATATGGAACTTATGATATTAAATGCATCCACTCATTTAATGACATATGGAAGTTATATCAAAAGGTCGGATGAAAAGGTTGTCTCAATAGCACCACCCTTTTAAATGTGCAATCATAATATATCATCATATAATTCACTTTTTTTATTTAAAATTCACATGTGATATTGTATGATTGATTCACCCTACATAGTTCAATATTTAAAAATTCAATCCTAAGGATTTTATGGGTTTGGATTTATCAAAAATATGTCAATATAATCAATTTATTTTGGTACTAACTCCTGGTATTCAAAAGGATCTATTTCTCTATTCAGAAAACTCAAACTCAAAACTTTATTTAAAAAAAAAAAACTAAGTTTCTTCCACTCAAATTAATAGATTATTAATCAATATAATCAATTCATTTTCTTATATTACCAACTCTAGAGCCTATATAAAAATTGTTGTGTGTAACTCAATATCTCAGCATAATAATAAAATATCTTTTTTCTAGTTCTCTCTTTTACTTCTTTAAAACTTAATATAAAATACATTGTTACTTCTTCTTCTTCTTCTTTTTCTCTTCTTTGAAATTTAGATTAAACAGTAGGGAAGACAATTCTCTCATCTACCAGCATATTATAGGATTTGAATTAACATTTCACATTTAGCCAAAAAAAAAAAATTATCATTACCATCACTTACATAGTTGAAAAAATACATAGTCTAAATGTATATGTTCTTTCTTTTTTTTTTTAGCTTTTTAGTAATAACATATATAAATTTATTCTGATCCTATTTTATATTTATACACATATATAGGCATTTTCATAATATTTTTTTAGGTACTTATCATAATGTATTTTTGAATCAATTTTTATGAATTTTAAGATTAATTTAATCTTTAGTGTAAACTTTAAAACTTAAATTTTAAATTTAATGTATAAAATAACATTTATTTATAAAAAAAATTTAATTTTTAGAATTTACATTTTAATAATATTATAGGCAAAAAGTGCAGATCACCCCCTAAACTCACCAACTGGTGGCAAATCACCCCCTCAACCCCAACTGGTGGCAAATTAACCCCTCAACTCACCTGCAGTGGCAAATCAGCCCCTCTCTTAACCCTTCCGTTAACACTTAACGGTCCGCTCATCAGCCCTTCCTCTATGTTTGACGTGGCCTTCTTTTTGCTGAGGTGGAGGCACAGCTGGACAAATACCTCAAAATCACCAGATTAAGTAAAATACCCCAAAGCTCCTCGACGCAGCATCACTGGAGAACCGTCAACTATCATCACCGGAAATTGGCAAACCTTGTCCGATGGGTCCTCATCCGTCACAATCGCCAACCTCGAGAAATCACAGTTCCCATCGTTCTGGTTATTCACTTGATAGTACATGTTGAAGGCATACGAGGCATTTCCCTCCGGGTTCAGGTGATTGCAGGAGGAGCCGTAGCCCAACACAGTGCAATCGGAGTGAGCGCAGGCATAACTGATGCTATCTGGTAAATCCTCGAGGTCAGTCGCATCTGGGTTGAAAACGCACCATCTCTTGCTCAGATACCTCACCCCCTCCACTGCAGCTAGACCTTTGTTTCCGTTCTTTCCCGTTAAATCCAGTTCGTATTTGGGTTTTCTGTTGAACTCGAAGATTCGCCAATACCTCTCGAAGGTTCCGACATTAATGTCCTTGGCGTTCTTGTCGATTAGGCTAAAGAGGTAGACATTAATTGGGCCACCTCGAGCTGGGGTTCCGTTCCCGCTCATAGCATATTCGAGCAAACCCTGGTTGAATCTCCTTGCATTTTGGGTGTTCGCGTTTTTGTCTCCATCTGTTTGCCAACCAACTTCTCCGATGATAATCGTCATATTGGAGAATCCGTTTTTGTCCAGGGCTGAAACCAGAGTATCCAGGTTCGCGTCGAACACGTTCGTGTAAATCCGGTTACCGTCCTTAACCCGTGTGCTTTCACCATCAAAGAAAGCAAACTCAATAGGGAAATGATTGTTTCCATGGAGACTGAGGAAAGGGTAGATATTGACGGTGAACAGGGAATCGTGGAGATACAAATACTGGATTATTTCAATGGTAGCGTCTTTGACATCCGACCGAAAGTCACCCGCTGAGGGCAAGTCGTTTCCTCCTTGTGATTCATAGACATCTGCATTCAAGAATTTTGCTTAATTCGATGATTTTGAGGTATTTGTCCAGCTGTGCCTCCACCTCAGCATCCACCTCAACAAAAAGAAGGCCACGTCAAACACAGAGGAAAGGCTGATGAGCGGACCGTTAAGTGTTAACAGAAGGGTTAAGAGAGGGGCTGATTTGCCACTGCAGGTGAGTTGAGGGGTTGATTTGCCACCAGTTGAGGTTGAGGGGGTGATTTGCCACCAGTTGGTGAGTTTAGGGGGTGATCTGCACCTTTTGCCAATATTATAAGTGTTAAATCACTGAATTGATCATGGTGGCCCGAATTTTGTTATAGAACAATAATTGGTGGGTCCAAAATTAAAAGTTGAAGAATAAATTAAAATTAATTCGGTCGTTTGATTACGGTGTCAGACCTATGAGAAAGCGCAATAAGATTAAAGATGAGAATTTTTTGTGTGTATGCTTTTGAGTCACCTCTCATTTCGTCCCGAAATGACGGCGACCGAAGTTCCATTTATGAAGATATTTTTTCTGTGTGTACTTTTGACTTTTGAGTCACCTCTGATTTTCGTCCCGAGATGACCGCCACCATGTTACCATTGGTGAACCCTTACGTTCGGCCGCTTTCCATTACCTACTCTTATCTGCGCTCTCCATGACTTATTCTTAACTTTGTTGAAAATGGGTAATGGAATGACCTACTCCTGATGTTAGAGAACGGGATTTTGCTAATATTGACCATTTCAAATTCTGGGACTTGGCATGGTCTTGATAAGGGTGAGGATTGAGTATGAATATACTTGTTATTTTTAAATATTTTATTTAAATTGTAAAAAATTAAGTCAATAATAAGTATAAAAATAATATATTTATAAATGTTAAGTAATTAATAAGTATAAAAATTTAAAATTATTTATTTGGTTTATTTAACTGTTTAATTTAACTAACATATTATGTATACTTGTATGATGAAAATTTTATATATACTTATTATATTTAATATTTATATAGTAACAATAATTTTTTTTAAAAAAATAAAATATAAAAATAAAAATAAAAGAAATCACATAAAACTTATAAATAACAAATCTTAAACTAAACACGTATCACAATGTAACTAACAACTTTTTTTTCTTTTTTGCACTCTTAGGTACGGTAAGTGTTTATAATTTCAAATTTTGATTTTTTTTAATTTTTTTTTACTTTTTTATTAGTGATTTTTGAGGCATAGTCTTTGTTTATTATATAGATATTTTTTAATTTTAAATTCTAAATTTATTATGATAAAAATCATAAGTTAAAAGTATGAATATTAAGATGTTAAAATAAATATATTACCATAAGTTATAATCCCTTTCTAATAAATCAAAGCAAATGATTAGAGAGATTATGAGTCCAAAAACTTAAATATCTCATATTCAACTTATACTCAGAAAATGCTTACCCTAAGTCCACAGGTCTTTTAATGCAGCGGATGTGGGCTTGAAGCTTAACGAATCAAAAGTTTATTTTATACTCTAGCTATGCTCAGCCCATGTCAACTTCAGTGGATCTTGCTATATGCTGAGAATTAAAGTATCAAAAATTATAATAAAAAAATTTAAATATTTTTAATAAATTATCATATGAGAAATATTTATCAAAATTATTTGATTAACTTTATAAATAGTTCTGATGTAAGAATTTTTTATTTCACTTTTTTTTATCTAATTAATTTTTCTTTTGTATTTATGATTAAAGTGTATTTAGGTCAATTGTTACCTACCTTGAGATTAATACCTCTACAAACAATATTAAAATACACCCCTCATATTAGTTTAATACATTTTAAAAATTAATTCCTTTAAATACTAACTTCATTATAAATCTAGCCTACAAGACTCACAAATGAGTTTTATAATGATCTAACCATTATAAGTCTGGCCTACAAGACTCATAAATTGTTATTTCCTAATTATATAGTTAGAATGACAATTAGGGAAATATATTTAGTTTGAGACTCATAAAGGAGTTTTATAATGCTCTAACCATCAAATAGGATAACTAGAAAAATAAACAAAAATAAAATAAAAATAAAAATTAGGGCAACTTGAATAACTTCATACTATATTTTAAAAATAATATGTTACGTACTGTCAATTTTGATGTGGTACAGTGGTAGGAAATGAAAACTTTGCCTTAATTAAAAGCTAATAAGCTGCTAATGATGTCAAAGAAAAGATCCAAGCTACAAATGAATGATTTTATCAACTTGTTCGGTCTAAGAAATTTTAACATTAATGTTGTGTTATATATACTAGACTTTAAGCCGCGTTTTTGTGCAATTCATTTGAATTTTAGAATTTTTATTAACTATAAGTTTTTATAATAATAATTAAAAAATGTTGTATGTCAGTCTCAAATTTCATAAAAAATATCAGTCTCTAATGAATATTTAAAAAAAATTAATTTTTATATTTAATATTTTATTTATAAAGATAACATATGTTAATTTTTAAAAATATAATTAATAATTTTTTTATTATTATCCTTTCCCAACCTTAATTTTCTTTCTATATTATTCATTCTTAATAATTGATTACATCTTGATCTATCATATTATATATCTTTCTTGTTCAGAATATCATCCACATGAGAAGAAATCTTGCTACCTAACAAAATATCACAAATGATAATTTTTATATTATTAATGCTATATCTCAATAATATATATGATTATTTAATAATTTAAAAATGTTATTATCACATCATAAGGTTTTTACTAATAGCAATTACTACGATTATTTTTTGATATGACAAACAATTTAAAGATTTTATAAATATTTAATTAATGTACGTAGAAAAATAACAATTAATATTTGATAAAAAAATCTTAAATATAATAAATATAATCACAAATACATAAAATTATTTTATCAATTCATCAAATGGATCATAATGCATACTCTAACAATTGGCACCAATGAAGCTTGGGGTGGGGCTACTTTTGGAATGGCATGACTAGGATTTTTTGAGATCTAATTGGCTTTGAAATTTTCTGGAGTTGATATGTTCCCGAAAAATCATAAGTAATTCGTGTTAAATGCAAATTGGATTCAATTTCCATTTGAAAAATGATTTTGGGACAATATTTTTGCACTATCTTTTGAAATAATTTTTTTATATTATTATTTTAATATAACTTGATGTATCATTTAAATAATTGATTTTTTTTTATTTATATGAAATTTATGATATTAAATGTATTAATTTATTTAATATCATTTAATAACATATAAAATTATATCAAAAAATAACACAAAAAATTGTTTCTACAGAACCGTCACTTGCTTTTATGCCAACTAATAGTAGTAGAGGGGAGAGAAATTAGAATATTTATTATACAAAATTATGTTTCCTTTTGTAAGACCGCTTGATAGGGGCTGTTTTCTTTTGATATTTCTCTTAGATATGTTTAAACTTATAGTAATTTGGGATTTCTAAAGTTTTTGTCTGAATGACTTATTTTGAGGTTTTTCTTAAACTATTTATTTTAATACGAGATTAGTTATAGAATTATAAATCCTGGCAAAAATTAATTGGAATTGATGACGAAATGTCATGCTTTGTTTTTTCCTATTATCAATTTCGTATTTTGTTGCTAATTATATTAAAGAAATTTGTTTTTTTATAAAAAAAAAATTAAATAAATAACAATAAGCAAAATACCAACAAAACCTCATGTCTACTGATATAGCATATAGATATTAAAAAAAAGTAGTATGTAGTTTAAATTAATTTAAATTGTATAATGTTAATTATTTGATAGAGATAGATTTTTTGATATTAAAAGTTTTTTTTTATTTAAAAATTTTTGTATTATAATTTAATACAATTTAAATTAAAAAATAAAATAATCATATTAAAATTCATAATTTTTAAATTGTGTTAAAATTTAAAAAATAATGAATTTTCTCTAAATTTTTCCTAAATTTTTGTATTGTACTTGAGTGCAGTTGTACTTATGCTATAAACACCTATTCCAAGGAAGGAAAAGAGGAGGGGAAGCTTTTAGTTTAATTTTTTTTATTCCATTTTACTAATTTTAGTATTTAAATGAGGAAATGAGAGAGAAATTGAGGGATATTGTATCTCCCAAGCCCTTCTCTCTCGTCTGTTTCGCTTAAATTTTTTTTATTAGTGTTGTGTTGTGCTACAGTTTTTTTTATTTTAAAAATATGTAAAATATTAATTAAAATTAATAAAAATATATAAAAATAAATTTAAATAATAAATTTATATTCTTAAATAGTGTCTCTGTTTAAAAAATCTATAATGAAACCTTAAACAAAATGAAGGGTTATTGACACGTAAATAAAAATTATAGATGAAAATATCTGTATATTATTATTCTAAAAAAAAATATCGACAATATAAATGGAGGCACCTGAAGCAATAGCTGAGCAAAGCTAGACGTCATCAAAATATTCAAAGTCATCTTTAATACACCAAAAAGTCAATTCGAAGTGACTTTGTAGGACGAAGGTGGGTTGGGACTTGGGAGGGGGGGTGGGGACCCCGTGAGGGGGCATCCCCCTAAACTTTTAAAAAATTTCAAATATGGTACACTAATTTCTGTTTTTTACAATTTTAAAAATTTTTGAATTATTGGAACCATTTCAAATATAAAGATAACGTTTAGAACTTAGATAAAGGAATCGTTTCTCTATATGATTAATTTTTAACATATAATAATTTAGTCTAAATAAGAAAAGATATTAAAAAATAGTCAAGATCTAGTTAATAATATTAATACAACTTATATGAATTTTTACTTTAGTTATATATAATTTTTTTGTACAATTTATATTCTATGAAAATAATGGTTAAATTTATTCTATTTATATAAAGGAAAATGATGCGTGCACACCCGAATCCAACACCCGGGTGTGCACACATCATATAAAGAAAAAAAAAATGCTCATCACCCGGTCCAACTTTTTTTTTTTTATGTGGAGGGTGCACACCCAGGTGTTAGATCCGGGTGTGCACCGATTATTGTCCTTATATAAATCATATATTTTAAATTTAAAGTTGTTTTTGATATAAGTAACCATTCAAAAAAATAAACTATATTTTTATATTATTTATTTAAGTATTTTAGAGTATATATCATTTAAAAATAGCTAACCATATCTAATTTTATTGATAAAATTAAATATATCTAATTAATTTAAAGTTTAGCATACATAAGTTAAATAATACATATATACAAAATTAGCAAACAATATAGAAACTAATATAAATTATATTAATAAAAACTAATAAATAATTTAATAAAAAATTTAACTTTGTACCCCTCTAATTTGAATTTAGGTTAAATTTTAAATTTAATCCCTCAACTATTATATATTATATAGACCTCTGATTTGATTTATAATCTAAAAAATCTTTAATTTGATCTTTATTGTTTATCAATTTAGCCCAAATTAGTCATTTTATTAAAAAACAATTGATGTATTAATTATTTAATAGCAAAAATAATTACTTAACAGTCATATGTCATATTAATAATAAAATATGTTATCTACTTTTATACGGAAGGATCAACTTGAGGTTAAATTGGTAAGCTGTAGGGATCAAATTAGGAATTTTTTTAATTTAAGAACCAAATCAAAGGTTTATATAATAGTTAAGGGATTAAATTGAAGATTTAACAATAAATTTATGGCTCCGTCCCTACAAGTAGCAGTGTAGAACATCAGAAGGTATAATCCGTTTCTCTGCTCAACAGTTTCCTTCATTCTTCAGCAATATACCAACCCAGACAGACCGTCGGGATCACCTCGAAGGATGTCGGGATCATCGGCAGCACGACATCTCCTGGTTCTGGGTTCCTTTGCTATCTTGGTGCAGCTCCTTTGCGTTGCTAATGCTCAAAATCAATCTCAGCCAACTACAGACCCTGATGAAGGTACACCTTTCTTGTATTTTAGTCAATGTATTTTTTGGTTTGTAAAGGATCGACGTGCGTTCCAGAGATTTAAATTTCTAATTAATGTTGAGCCAAATAAGGTTATTTTAGCTAATGAGTCAACTAGTGAAGGAAAATTATTGATATATTTTCTTGTTCAACACATATTTTGATACTTCTCCAGTTTAATTATTAAAATACAATATAAATATAATTAATTTATTTAATTTTTGTATATATATGTATGATTATATTATTAAACTTATTTATTTTTAATTTTATAAAAAATAATAATTTTTAATAAATATATAATATAATATATTAAATTAAAAAATATATAAATCGGTGTCTATTGATGAATACCAATTCTACTAAAATTGTAATTAGTAGTATATGTTGCTAAATTAACACCAATCGATTGTGGCTTTTAGCGCTGCTTCTAACCCAGAATGTAACTCCGAGTCTGCACTCTGCAAGACCATCACCCTCCTGTCCTGCTGCTTGACCAGAATTTTAATGTTCAGTGGGTAGAAGTAGGGCTATGTTATGGCCACTATTATTTTTATTAGATAATTAAAATTATTAAATTTTTATTTTAATTTTATTATTAAAATAGTTAATAATTAATAAGATAATTAATATTTATTATTTAATAAAATTAATTTATAAATCAATATTTATAAATATTATAACTAATTATTTTTAAAAAATTATTAATTAATAAAATTATTAATTAGTCGACTTAACAAAGAGGCCAGTGGGCATAACCTTGTGGAAGTAGGTTCTCGTCTTCTATGTTTCTATGTAAAATTGTAGCTGGTGGTACCTAATCTTTCAAGTAGTCAACAATAAGGTCCTCAACCTCCAAAGACTAAAAGTTGGGTCCATTTGATTCTATTCTTCTTCTTCGCATAAGATCCGATTTGGCCCAAATGGAGTTGCGTGTGAGAACTTATTTCCATCCCTGTTATAGCTTTCAGTATATGAAAAAGAAAAACAAACTTCGGTTGAGAATATGATAAAAATGGAGTGAGGATTGAGAAAGAAGAGATTGAAGAGATAAATTTTGAAAACAAAATGATACAAATGGTAATAACCGTTTTATTTGCAATAGTTGATGATATAATAAATGTACTCTTTGGAAATGTTTGAGTGTAATTTGTATGCAACCCTGATTTGAAGAATGAACTTAATTACCCAATTCTTAACCCTATATTTAGGTTGAACGGAATAGAAATGAGCGGACTTATATCCTTTCATTTCCTTCCATTCTCCTCCCCTTTATTTTTCTCATTTGGATAAGGAATAAAATTTAAAAAAATAAAATAAAAGAAAACTTTCTCCTCCTTTCCCTTCTAATTTTTAATAATAAAATAAAAAACCATTTTTCCCTTCATTTCCTTCAATCCAAACACACTATGAAAAAAGATAAAGTAGATAATTATCATAATGATATGTAGAGAATTTATTTATGCAATTTTTATTTATAATTTGCATATGTCATTATATAAATGAATGTATATAAGATCAAGCCTTCTAAGAAAGTAAATAAAGTTAATAATTGGTGAATGATATATAAGATTTTATAGAAGTTCTCTTTTAATTTTTTTTTTATCTAGATTATGAATCAATTTATTCCCTTAACTTTTAAATGGATTCAATTTTATCATTTTTGTTACTCAAACATTCATATTTTGATGGTTCAAATTCAAAAGAAGTATTTCTCTAGTTTGAAAATTAAACAACTTGCATCTATAGCTATAGTCGCAATGGTAGGGGTGCACCTATCAATGGCCATGACCATGATTTTACTCTTATTATTTTATTTTTTTTGATACATTTGACTATAAGTTATATAAAAGGAAATAGTTCTCTCCTATTCTCATATCTCTTCTTATTCAACTTAAGGCTCAAATATGATATTTCTAACTTTAAAGTCTCAAGCTCTTAATGTTGAACCACTCCTTGGGTTGATTTTAATCTTACTATTTGTGTTTCATTCCCTTTTCCCTAAATTTTCCTAGGTTCAAAAATAATAATAACAATGAAAGGCACCTCACAACATAAAGTTGTAGTGAGAATTATATTAGTAATTTGACACAATCACAATTAAAAATTAGTAATTAGTTTTTACTTATATATAACTTATTTTTTTATTTTTTGTTAACGTAATATTAATTTTACATTTTATAATTAGATTAGTATTTATTTGTCTTATTTTTTAAAAAGTGAAAGAAAAATTATTATAAAATTATATTGTTTCAATAACACATTATGAGAAAGACAAAAAAAGCCTAATTTATACTTTAAAAATATAGTATTTTAATATCTTTCAAAAGGAATTTATTGAAATGATTGAGTTTTGAAGTAATTTTTCTCACAATTTTTTAAAATAAGGCAAATGGATACTTTTTTTTAAGAGTAGTGATAGGCGGGACGACGCCGGGGGACGAAATTGGGGACCGATAAGTATTAAGAGGGGGTAAATTAGTAATTACATCACATGTATAAGTCCCCCTAATACTTATCGGCCCTCAATTTCGTCACCCGGCGTCGTCCCGCCTACCATTACTCTTTTTTTAATTATATATAAATATATTTTGTTACATATAATTAGAAAATTTAAATATGATGGAAATCTGTTGAAGTGTGGCAGAAATTCCTGGAGAAATGTAAGGAGAGTGTGTGGCAGATGATGGAGTGGAATTGAGAAAAATTAGGAATTTAGGTGTTGAATGCTGCAAATTCGTATGTGGCAGATGAGAGAAGGAGTTGAGAAATTAGGGATTCAGAGATTTAGGCTTTAAATAAAATATGTACCGAGATCTTGGGTATTTGACTGGATATTTTTGGATAAAATGTCAACTTTATTAAAGAAAATATTTATTAAAAAAGTAGTTAAAAAATATTGTATAAAAAATAATGAATTTTGTAATAAAATTTTATTAGAATTTTATTGCGTTGTTAATTTTTTTTTAATATTTGATAAGAAATTAGTGTAGAAAATGTTAATAAGAAAGTTATTAAGTAGATCTCACGTTTAAAAAGTTGGAAAAAAAATTTTCTTTAAAAAAATATGAGAAGAAAAATTTATGAATTGAAAATTATATCAAAAAAATAAATGTTAAAAATATTGTTTTTATTTTTTTAATTATAAAATTAATGTATAAAATATAAAAATAATCTTATAATAAAAAAGTTTTAAAAGATTTAGGGAAAACGGTTTTGCCCAACCAAAAATTAAAAGGTAGTTTTAAAATTTGAACTTCAATGTCATGTTTGGATAAATGTTAATAAAGAAAAATAGAGGAAATTGAGGGAAGGAAAGAGAAGGACATGAAAAGAAAAAGAAATATTAATAGTAAATTTAAATCATATGATATATGATTGAAATAAATTAAAGAATAAAAGAATTAGATATGGTTTATTTATTTATTTATTTTTAATAGAGGGGAATTTTCAGGAAAATGGGAGATTAGGGCTTGAGGGAGAATCCAGTTTATTATATCCAATTACACTCTCCAACAAGTGGTTACTAAGTCACCAAGGTTGGACGCTTTTAATTTTATTATTTAAATATAAAATAATAATAATAATGATAATAATATCAAACCGACTGGAAACTTCACTCCATCCCAAAAAACAACTAACTTGACTCTTGTAAATGATTATGGATGAAATTAACAAACTATCTAGTTCTTGGGACTAAATCTATCATTAAGCATTAACCCAAAATTCAAAACCAAAATTGGTGTGCAAGTGACGTTTCAAAACTTGGGCTCAAAATTGTCTACACAATTGATTGCAGCTAAAATACTAAACTCCATATTTCAACAATGGGGAATATCAGCCCAGGCTCAATGGAACTTAAGCGGTGAGCTTTGCAGCGGAGTCGCCTTAGACATTACTGTCTTCGACAGCGGGACTTACAACCCTATCATCACATGCCAATGCGAAAACTCCACTTGCCACATTACCCAACTGTACGTAATCCCCAAACTTCCCTTAACCGTTAACCCTCTTCAATTTCATCTCTCCAATTTCGTCTTAAAATCTCCAATGTTTAGGGTTCCAATTCAAGATTGCTTACTACAAACACCATTTTTACAGGAAAGTTTATGCCTTGAGCATTGTAGGTGTGATTCCAGATGCACTTTGGAATTTGACTTACCTCACCAATCTGTATGTTTCTTAAAATTATATTTTTCTTTAGCACTTTCCAGTTTTTAGAACATGGACTCTAGTTTTTCAAATTAAATATACTTATAATGTTTCTTCCCATTTTTGCATACAGGGATTTGCGTCGAAATCGTTTGACTGGTCCTTTATCTACATCTATTGGCAATCTAATTCAAATGCAATGGCTGTAAGGAAATCCCAAGTTTTGACATTAATCCTTGACTTTGTTTTCTATACATTATTATTTCTCTAACAATGTTTAGCCTATATGTATTTAATAGGAGTTTTGGCACTAATGCTTTATCCGGTAAGGTTCCACAGGAACTTGGACTACTTACTGATTTAAGATCATTGTAAGTTAACACCATTTGTCTCATTGTTTTATTATGTTTAAGCTCACTTTTGTCAATTGATGCATGTATTGTGTAATTAGGGGATAATTTTATACTCTTTTGGTAGTTAATGTTATTATCTAAATTAAAACAAAAATGCTTGAGATTTTTTGTATATCATCTTTTCTTTTTTTATTATTATTATCAGCACTTTTTCTTTTATTATATTTTATAGGTCAATTACTTCAAATAACTTCTCTGGTCCTTTGCCATCTGAGCTTGGGAATTGTTTGAGATTGGAACAACTGTAAGTTTTGACTTTTAATGCACAACCTACATGGCTTTCTATTTTCAATGCTTTGCAAATCCTTTTTCATTTCATTTGATAGCTAATAATTATAAGACTAGGGCTTAGTTTGACAATGCTATCTAGTGTTGCCCTGTAGCTATAGTTATTAGAAGTGATGTGTTGTACTGTAACGAAAAGTATTTTAGTGTTTGGTAATTATATTTCAAAAAAACTATTTAGTGTAAAATTACTCAATTAGACACATTCTTATTTAAAATTAAATTAATTAATAATTTAATATATTATTAACGAAAATAGATTTGGGAATTTTATTAAATTACTTTTGGAAATTTTGGATAAGATGACTTTTGTATTCCTTTCTGAAAAAGTAAGGTGGATAATTTACCAAACGCATAAATTACAAAAAGTGCTGTAAATATGTGCAAAAAATACTATAGGCAACATTTTCAAACTAAGCCTAGAATTTTGGTGAGCTAGATACTAATTATT